CTCTCTCTCTCTCTCTCTCTCTCTCTCTCTCTCTCTCTCTCTCTCTCTCTCTCTCTCTCTTCGTCGTGGTCTTCTTTGCAGGTGCGCGCGGCAGCTTTTTCAACCTCCGGGTCCGCTATGGCGGACTTCTTCTCCAATGGCTACTTCGGCTATGGCGCGAAGCTCTCCCTGCGGCACACGACGGCACGTGTGGAATAGCGGGTACCAGCTCGGATACCAATGCAATCAGACTCACTCTCATTCACACTTTACATGCATGCAAACAGGTGCGCAGCAAACTGGCGACAAGCGCCCACTCGAAACTCAGAGATATGGTAGCCAAGAACGCAGTTCAGGTACAAGTTCACTTCAATGGCTATGGCGACACAGCGCCCACACAGCTCTCTGTTCGCACACACAGGATCACCCTGGATATCCCACACGCGATACTCTGTACACACACACACACACACACTACACTCTACCTACAGCTATGGCGGCTATGGCCGCTGCTAACCTATTGCTATGGCTAAGCTCCTTCTCGCCCACTTCGTCTTCGGGCTCACTGCAGACCACCTCGCACAAGTCGTTGTGGCAGCGCTTCCGCATGGCTCACGCAGGAATGAATGAATGGCTGGACGCTGCCCTTTGATTTATACTTCTGTAGTTCGTTGGTCTGGCACTGGACTAGGACTAACTGGGACTGGGACTGCTGACTCAGCACGGGTAGACTCCACCACTTGCCCACTTGCCTCAGCCTAAACGTGAGCAACTTCGAAAGGCCACTGCTAGGACCTTCCGGAAGGCCGTGCACTTGGCCTTTCGCTACTGTAGCAGCTACGACCTTGACCTTTCTGGACTGTAGCAGCTACGACCTTGACTCTTCGGAAGCTCTACAGCTACGACTTCTAGAACTCCCTAAGGCTTCTACTCGACAGGTCTACAGATTGAACCCCTGCTACCTACGGACCCTACGACAGTCTACCAACTGTTACAAATACACAGGTCACGGGTTCAACTCTCGGGGTCAACACAAATACTGTACACAGGTAAGGTGCTGACTAGGGATCGAGCCCTGGGATCTGCATCGGCTACTGCAAACAGTTAAATACCATTTCAGTAGGCTGTTTAACTCCCAATTGAATAATTAATAGCCAATTTGATAACAGGCATCCTCATACTGTAATACCTTCTTTTTTCAGCAATAAGCATTGACTTTACACTGACACAAGAACAGGTCTCAGGTTCAAGGCTCCACAGGCACAGTCATCCTCACACTACAGTACATCAGCAGGTAGGTACACAGGTAAGGCAACGTCAAGGTTCTGGGTTCATACTCCAACAACATCACGCAGGCGTACAACACAACACAACAGGCAACAACAGTAACAGGTTCTGGGATCGAATCACCGCAGGTAAGGAAGGTGAACTTGCGAGGACTGAGCCCTCACAGGGCCTCAAAAGAAATGCAATTGTTCCCGGCTGTGAGCCCCAGCAAGCATTGTGCCCGCCCTAAGTGAAGGCACGCCTGAATATCCTTAAGAGGCCTATTTCCGACATTTTCCATATGTGGGTACTTAGACAGTTGCAGCACGCCAGTTGGTTACAGGGAGACGTGAGCCTCCAGGCTCTTTCCAGCAACAAGGGCTGCGCTGTACAGTTGAGCCCAGGGCCGGGTGGTTGCGCCCTGGGCACACGCAGTGTGAGGCCGACACATCACGCAGCGGCCACGGACGAATGGGAAAGCAGCATTGTTGTCACACAATCTCCGCGAGCCAACGAGAATCTGGCCAACACTTGGACCTGGAAGGCTACCTGTACGTGCCCAACCGAAAAGGGCCCAGGCCCTTAAACTATAAAGGCGGGCCTGGGCGCAGACACTGGGGCCTGACGGGAAGCTACTGGAAACTTCCCCAGACAGGCCCACGCAGACACACATGGGGGCTGCACTTTCCATAAGGAAAGAGGCGAGCCCAGGCAGGGCATTCTGGCCTAGGCAGGCAATGCGGACGCACTGCTGCGTTGCTGCGCAAGCAACTGCATGGGCTCTGCTGGTCGGACGCGCGCATGGTGTCGGAGGGCGAGGTGTCCCGGCCCTCCGCTGCGTACCAGATGTCCGCTCACTTACCTCCGCTGACGTCAGCTCACTTACTTCTGCAGCATACCAGGCCGTACCCGGGATGCACCCTGCTGTGGGATCGGTTCAGTCAACGATTCTTTTGGTAAAGGAGTGGGTCTGCCGCCAGGTTCTCGCCTGGCCCACACAGGCTCAGTACGCAGCTGTGCAGCAGAGGTTGTGGCCGTGGCTGCAGCTGGGCTCACTCAAGGACGGGACGGCGGAGAGGCCGAAATGGTCTCGTTAAATGCACGCCAGGGCCCCCCCTAGCCGGGTTACGGGATGTATACAGTGTGTTGCAGTCACTGTCGAGGCAAGGAAAGGACTGGGGGAGGAAAAAGGAAAAGAAAAAGGAAATGAGAAAACATGCGTGTCGAATCGGCACTCTGAGTCAAATCGTCCTTCACGTTCGATTTATTCAGCGGCTACAGTAGCACCACGCTTCTTCCTAGAACTTTTCCTTTCCTTACTATTATTATTATAATTATTATTGCTATTATTACTACTATTATTACCTTTTTTTTCTTATTTAATTATTCTTTCTGTCGATTTGTGGGAAAACTAACGGTTCATTTTCGAACCGTCTACTGACTGGCGGCCTAGAATGGCCTGGCCGCTCCCGTCTCCTCTGTTCCTGGCGTAGAATCCCAAAAGAGGGGCAACCCACGGCCGCTTTCGTAGGAGGCTTATCACCCCCCTGCGGAAGGTCATAAGCCCCCTCCTTGCCATCGGAGACGAGTACCCGTCGGGGGTAGCCCGACGGCATGGTTTTGCAGGGAGAGAGGCGCCCATTGATATCCCGTTATGGGACCACCATCGCAGGGTCGCAATCACTCCGTGGCAAGATGAAGTGACTGGGACTGATAGCAAAAGGTCCGCGTGCACTACGACCGTTGGGGTTTGGCTTCCTTTTTTTTCCCCTTTGTCTTTCTCGTTTTACCCGTCTTACCAAAATTTTGAAAAGCAATTTTTTATTTATAGAGTCCGAAAAGGATATCCCTCGTTTAGAGCGCAGGGATCGCAATAAGCAGCGATCCTATAAAAGTTGGGGGAGACGAGCCCTTAGCTACTCGGACTTAGGCAGCCCTGTTACGCCGAGCACGGGTGAGATGAAGAGGGAGGACCGAGCGGCGAAGTGTGCGTGCGAGTTTGTCTGCGTGTGCATGCCCTGAGCGTTTAGTTTTGGCTATTTCGGAGCCGGCAGCCTGGTACTGTATACAGCCTGCTCAAAAAAGGCTCGACTATGGTGCACAACAATGGTCTATATGGATATAGGCCAAGATCCTCCAGTTCCTCTGGAGGTGGGAGCAAATGCCTGGAGATGGGTCTGTGGTGACGGTCGTTCTGGACTACAGCCGCTGCAATCAAGAGATCAGGCTGAAAGTGAATGTGGAAGGGGGGAAAGAGGAGGAAATGAGAGCGAACCAGGGGTTACAAGCGGCCATTACAGAAGCC